AACACACATATACAGGGTGTCCCATAAGAAAAAAAAATCATATAAACAATGGGCTAATTTTTACCAGAAAAGTAGAGAATTCAAGTTTTGTGTTTTTAAGTGGGTGTTTTTTGTTGACTCGAAAGTAATAACTAAAGAAATATATAATTTACGTAAATAATAATTGCTTCATAGTAAACAAGACGAAATTCACTTTAAATGAAAATAGAGTTTATCGTTGCTAAAACCATTTACAGATGACTTTTGAGTGGCTAAACTAAGCTAAGTTCTAGTTCTTAATTTGTTATATTATTATCCAACTATACACAGATTATATATATATATATATTTATATATATATATATATATATATATATATATATATATATATATATATATAATCTGTGTGTCTATATATACATGTGTAAGTTTTACTCACCCGAATTACCGCAAGAAATATTTTTATATCCCAATACTTCTATCACAGAAAAACAATAATATAGTTGTTAAAACAATTTGAATGCCTCGATTCAGTGGATTATGTGTACTGCTTTTGTCAACCTTAAAAGAAATTTTAAAGTTTCTAAGGAAGTTTATAATCTTTTTAAGTTCCAAAAGTTTTTCGGTTTCGTTTTTATGGAAACATTTATTTTCTATTCAATAATATAAAATTAGACATCATTAATTACTAGAATTATTTTTTTATTCTTATTAGAGGCTGATATTCGTTATTTCTATCAGAGGTGGACAAATGCTATTCTGAGTACTGAGTACCAAGTAAGTTACACAAATACTGATCTTTTTTGAGTACCAAATAATTTAATTACCACTTCACTTGATGTCAAACGATGTCGAGCAATGATTGAATTCCAAGCAAAAGTGATTCAATTTTAGTAAAGCACTTGGTACCCCGTGCTCTGAGAAGCATTTGCCGATCTCTGATTTCTATTAGAGAGAGAGACTGATAGTCATTTATTATTAGTAGTTATTTTTTCGTAATTGTTCAGTAACTTCTGAAGTTCTTCCCCACACTAGATATTAGTTTATCTAAAATTCGTTCCCGGAAATTCGTTTTCGATTTTTTTTTTTAAATTCAGTTTTGCGTTCAGTCAATGATCAGATTACTTCATCGTTCATATTTAAGCTATTTCTATTACTTCTAAAAATAAAAGACTTTCAATTATTTGTTAAAACAAAATTAAAGGTACTTTATTGAGAGAAATTTTGCATTTGATTCTGCCAAACTGATAAATAACAATTAGATTCAGCTAATATTAAATATAATTAATTTAAAATCTATAAGGAGTTTAATCAAAACAATTAAATCAGGCGATATATTTATTTTTCGTTTCTGTCATTTTATTAAGTTATTTAGAATAAAATGGTATTTTGAAAACAAAAACGATGTTGGTTTTAAACATTATTAGGGCAAGTTATTCAATGGTGAATAACCAAACCCCCATTTCAATACAATAATTATATTTTTGTACTTTAAATTAATTATAATGTAGTATTTTGTATATTGGGTATTTATCTGAATTATGGTTGATCTCATTCCAATTTCTTTATTGATTTTTACATTACTTTTTTTTTATGTTTTTGGTCTTGTGTTTCGATGATGGGGACAAGAATTTTTAATGTGCGGTCCTGATAATGGGAAAATGATCCGAAATTTCGGCAAAGCGTGTAATGTAAAAATTAATAAAGAAATAAAATTTGTAAGGCTGAAAACAAGCTTCGCCGTAGAAAATGATTTATTTCGAACGCTTGGGTTATCGGGCCATCTCGGGCAGATACATTAAAAAAGAGCCGATTACATTACCATGGTAATTATCTCGTGTAACAATCTAAATCATCACTAGTAATAAATGACAGTGGGTTCGTCGGATAACTGAACGTTGATATTAAATTATTTCAAGTGCTGGAGTTTCTTTTTGGAATTCAATGCATTTACGCCTCTTTACATTAAACAAACAATACTACTTATATAAAGAAAATGGAATAAGATGAGGAACAATTGACGTAGATACCATACAGCTGTAAAAAAATAATGATAAAAAATGATTAAATATACAAAGAAAAATATGAAAAATAAAAATTACATTCAAATATATACAAATAATAAAATAATACCAAGCACCATATTTGATAAATAAAAATATTATTATAAAAAGTATAAAATAAATAAAGCTTTTATTGGCAAAGAAATCGTATGTCGTTAGCAATCTGACATGCAGATTTCACCGCCGCGAATTCGCTTTAGTTGCTCGTGTTTAGAGTGGACGAGGATTCGTGAGAGTCGGCGAATCAGCGACCATTTCTTCCTTCTCACTTAATATGTTCATCTTTGTTCGCGAACAGATAGATCTAGCGGGGAAGCACTTTTCGAAACGAGAGTTTTACCTGGTAAACGTTTTGTAGATTTATTTATATCATGAAAATATGTGAATTTTCTTCTATAATCCTGGCGAGAGAAAGTATTGGTTGATAATGATAGTAGGATACAAAGCTATTGCTAATTGTTAATAGAGAAATCATTATTAGAACGTTCGTTGGGCAGCGTGAATAGTTTTACAGCTCACTCTTCAATATCTGCCTCGTCTTACTACTATTTTTAAAAATAAGTTGAAGGAAAATTATTTTCTAAATTATATCGACACGCTTTATAATGGCAAATTATATTCCAAATCAGGTGACCAGTATTCCATCCGTTTTGCCAATTATATCCGGCATAGAGTTATGTGATTATTGCGTTATCGAAACAGTAAAAAGGATGAGGGCGGAAGCTAACACAATAGAGGGTCGGTGAATAGGGACCTTATTGAACGGCTCAATAATTGATTGCCCTTAACAATATGCAAATCTTTACCGTGCTACCGGCGCCCCCGCCTGCACAATTATCATTATGCCTATTGCTCAATATTTGGGAAACATATATAAATATCATCCCGATGGTGGACTCGTTGCAATGTACAATATTTCATATCAAATTATCATAAGAATTTAAAAGACTATTGGCTTTTGGCGGAAAAGTTCTACTTTGAGTATCTCATTGTATTTCAATAATAGTGAAAATAAAACTATTAAATATAATATCACTTGTTACCGTATTATTTCAGATTTGGAGGATTATTTTCTCTTTTACATTTTTTATTATGGAAATGCCATAATATTAGATCTCATTATATCGTTGACACAATGTTAAAGAAACGATTGTGAGCCTGTTTAACGTTCGTTATGTTAACATAGTGCCGACGAAATAACTGAACTACTTTGAATCAGTTTTTTAAGTTATTTTTATTTTTATAACAACTTTATTGTTTTTAATTTTTTTTTACCTTATGTAAAATATGAAAATAAAGGAAATATGTCAGTTGATTTATCTGTTATAATATTTAAATTATAACAAAATTGTATAAATAAATTTTCATATTTTCGATAATGAAGTGGTTAAGACGGGGAGAGGAGCGCCTCACTGACCCCGAGATAGACAGGTGCGGGTGACAGCTGAGTAGTGCGGGCTCGGCCTAAGCCCAGCGCCGTGCTGTCCCTATTGTGGTATCTATCTATCCTTACCTAGGCCACCAGCCACCGGCAGCGATCCCTATCCGGACTCCAGCGGTTGGATTATTGAGCTTTTTAATAATTATCTGTTCGATGGTTAATTTTGGCTAATAATTGTACAACGGTAGTGGGCACAGGTGTAGTAGTGTACAGGATTCGATATAGCACAAGAAAAAAAAAGATAAACAGACTTGTAAATAAATAAATATATATGTTTAGTGTTGTGTTTATATAAACAGGGGAGGGGGGAGGAGTGGGGGTAGCGGTGATTGACGGGACGCGGTGGTGGGGAGAGTGAATGGCCGTGTTGTTGTTGTTTATGTTTATCGAGAGGCGGCAGAGGAGCCGTGGGCGGCGGACGTTGCCGAGAGGATGCAAATCGCAGGAGTGGCTCGATCGATTGATTCACTGCCACTTACTTGTTATTTTCATAGCCACCGCCCATCCCTTTTTTATTTGTCTCGGTTATTATATCGCGAGCGAGGGCCGAAGGGGACCTAGTTCAGGTGAGTGAGAGTGGAGAGAAGGAGAGGAAGCGGCAGGCGCGGCCGGCGGCGGTGTTGTGTTGTTTTGTTTATTTGTTGCCCTGTTGTTGTGTTTATGTTTGGCGCTACTAGAGGGGGTGGGGGGTGTGTGGGGGCGGCTCGGCCAATCGGGCAGGGTGGCGGGAACAGGTGAGCCTCGGAGCGGGAAGAGCCTACACACACCTAGCCCTGGCGATCGGCGGCACGAAGGGCACAGGTACATCGGGTGGCGAGTTCCGCCTCGCTCTCGTTTAATGAGCACATCTACACTTTTAGAAACGGAGAAAAAACACGAGCTTTCGGCCAAATAGGAGAGGCCGCGGTGAATAGTGGATAACGAGATCGCCGACTCACTGATATGACACAATATATTAATTAATATTTATCTTACCTCACTTCCGATGTTGCCAAAGGAATCCATCTTCAGAGAACAGAGATCAAATAGCTGTAGACAATTGCGCAAGTGTTTCTCAGAAGCATGCGCTGGCTAGCTTATACTTTGAGGTGGGAATGTTGTTGGTATACGGGGGTGGAGGGGGGGTGCTGGTGTAGGTTTACCCCCCAATAAAAATCTCTCCCCTCTCTCCCCTCCCGTTGTGCAAACATCGCGAGGAAGCGGCCGAAGAGGATGGAGTACAGGCCGGCGGCGGCCTAAGGTGGAGCTGACATATCGGCGGCCATGTCGAGCGGAGCGGCGTGGCCAGGCAGCAGCGGCGGGCGGAGGCGGAGGAGAAAGGTGGACATGAAAGAAGCGGCGGGACACGAGAGGCTGGACAGTGAAGACAGTTTGTGTGTTGCAGGGCCTGGGACAATCAATAGAGAGCTGGTGGTTTCCATGGACACGGGGGCTCCCCCCTCCCCCCGACGGCCGCGGAGGATTGTGGGTAGCCGGCGGGGTCAGTCGGCAGCGGGCTGTCGCGGCGGCAGGAGGCGATGAAGCGGCTGCTGAGGCGGGGGGAGGTGCCGCCCCACCTCCAGTTCAACCCCTACGTGCTCGCGGGCTACCGCCCCCTCCTCGGCCTCTGGGGCTCGCTCTGCTCCCTCTGCTACCTCCACAATGAGACGGTCAACATCCTCAGCCACGGTGAGTAATCTTATAATATCTTGTTTATCTATAATCTATATAGCGAGTATCCTTATCGGTAAGCTCTATCTCTCAGGTACACGACCTCTCGGTTATATAAAAAGCATTAGATAAATGTGTTTAGGCCATACTTTTCGAATCCAGCTTCCAGTGAATTGATCCGGCACAGTAAACGAATATGTTTGAACTTAGTTTATTTATTTTTTTTAATATTGAAACAAATGGCCTCATTAAATAAATCCAAGAGTTTAAGTTTAATAAAATACAAATGGATGTGAGAATATTAAGCATCATTCGAAGCTAATAATGGCTAAAAAAGATATCGACAAGCAAATAACACTATAAAATTTAAAGTAAAGTTCATTCTGGTTGGTATAATAAATATTTTAATTACATATCGTTAACGTGTGATCCATCTTCCTCATTCTCGATTATGAAATATATTTAGGTAATGTTTTGGCATTGAAATCATCAATTAAATTTCCAATAAACGTTAACTTACAAATAAGTTTGGTGTTACCTTATTTTAGACATGTGTTGAAGTAGGGGAGTGTAAGGAATGGTTGTTTGAAAATTAAGAATAGGTTATTGACAAGAATGCAGGTATTTTATGAAGGGGGGGAGGGTGCGCTCCGAGGTTTATGTAACTACGCCCCCCCCCCGTCCCCACTCAGCTGACCTCGGGGAGGGTGTCTGACTTGGACCAATAGGGTTCGCTGTCAATAGCTATGTCTGTGTTTGTGTATATCTGCTTGAGCTAACATAAGCATGGTGAACAAATTTGCATGTTTCACTTATGTGGATCTAATTGTAAATTCAATATATCGTCAATGGTTTGTAAATAGGATAACTTTAACAAATTCGGTTTTCGTTTTCTCCTTTTAAGATCTTCAACATGAATAGGTTCTGTAACTATGATATTTAAACATCTCCCCTACCCCTCGGATGTAACAACAGCCAAAACAAGATAATTTTCTAAAAAGCTTGGTGAGCTGAGGTCTAATATAATATCCTCAACGGTAGTCGATTGTTAGATCCGATCTTTTTACAGAACATTAAGTTAATGTTTTTTCATGAATTTAAACAATCGATTAAAAATTAACATTTGGATTGTAGAATCTGTTTGAGTGCTCCTTTTCGGAAATTCAAAAACACTTGTTCAGATGAAGAGGAAAACTAATCATTAAAATTTAGTCAAAGATTCGATGGACTAAACTAAAATAAAACAAAATGTAATAAATAGAAGAAGGAGGGAACATTCGTCTGATAAAAAATTATTTCAAACCAATTAAATTAATGATTTATTTTTTTAGTTCCACTGAAAATATGACTCTGGGATTTACAGTTAGTTTTCCCTCTTACTTGCAATAGGGTACCCCAAAACTAATGCAAGATTTAAATTAAATACAAAACACAGTTCTTTCTTCTTTTGTTTCCTTTTTCTTCTTCAATTTAACAGCTGATAGTTTAGGATTAATAAGAATGGACCGTTATGCGAGCGAACAATGTGTTTTCATTGTTGGAAAATATTTTTAAAATAATAAGTCTTGCTGAAACAGTTCGAAAATTTCGTACAAAATATTGTCGGAATAGTGATTTAACTTCATCAACTGTGAAGAGAGTGGTTGAGAAAGTCGAACAGACTGAATCAATTGACGGTGTTTAAAATCCTGGGCGTCCAAAAATAAGCCTCTGAAGTGTCAATATGGAACTAAGAAAAGTGGCCACAAATCTATCATTATTTTTAAATATTAGTCAACACCACTGAGTGTTTAACATCACCAATTTATCCAGTCTGCTTTGCTTTCTCAACCACTCTCTTCACAGTTAATGAAGTTAATTCACTATAACTACCTTACTTATTTTCGAAAAGTGGCCGCAAGAATTTAATTATTTTTAAAATATTTTTCAACAATAAAAAACGGAATAGTGATGAAGTTAAATCACTATTCCGACAATATTTTGTAAGAAATTTTCGAACTGTTTCAGCAAGACTTTCATTATTTTAAAAATATTTTCCAACAATGAAAACACATTGTTCGCTCGTATAACGTTCCATTTTTGTTAACCCTAAACTATCAGCTGTTAAATTGACAAATAAAAAGAAAACAAAAGAAGAAAGAACTGTGTTTTGTAATTAAATTAAATCTTGCGTTGGTTTTGGGACAATCAATACAACTTCATTGTCGGTTGATTTGTTCAATCGGTTCGGTTGATTCATTGACTAGATTTTTTTTCACTTTTATTTTTATATCTGCACCTGTAAATACATTTATTAACAATGAGCAGATGTGCTGGCTATATAATGAGAAGAAAAACAAACATAAGACAAGTAAGGTCAGTATAGCTTCCTCACCGTTATTTTGGATAAAAAATATCTATATTACAAGGTATAATATTTTTCGTATGAAAATAAAATCTCTGGGAGAAACCGTTTTCGGAAATTTAGTAAACAGTCAACATATATGAGTTTGATATTCACGAATTTTGTACATTGAATACTAAAATTTGAAAGAGTTCTGCATTTGCAGATTGCATATTTGATGAATCGAGATTTAAAAAATATCCTTTCCATATTGAACATTAAAATCACAATTATTAGTGCAAAAGACCGTATGTAAAATTTGAATGTTTTACAGGATAGCATAAGAACTAATTGTTTCTTTATGATTTATTAGTATAATTTCATATTTTATTGTCCTCTACTATTTTACATGGCAGCAGACTGCTTATATTAGTTGCAGGCTACAAAAACTTTAGCATAAATAGAATGAAAGTTGAATATATTTACATACGATAATAGGAAAAATCTAACTTTTTTTTCGGAATTAACTCTAATATAAAAATATGTGTGATGCTCACAAAACTTTGATATTTATGGATGAAATTGAGACCACGACGAGCTAGTTGAACTTTCATAGAAATAAACACAATCACAAATAAGTCTTTCTTTTTTTATACAAACCCAGAGTAAAAATTAATTTAAATTTACTGAAAATTACACAAAATATAAGTAATGGCAGTAAGTGTCATGCCAGTAACGTTTGGAATCGACCAAAAAATACATTATAAATTAAGTTTTTGAATAAAACCTAAAATTTTAAAACCACATAAAAATATTTTCTTAACCTAACTCTACTCCATATGATCAATACCATCCACATTTCAGAACCATTATATTGTTAACAATTATTTACATTAATTGTAATAATTAAATGAAATTGACACCAGGTAATTTGTATACTATTCTACAAATTTCCTCCAAGTTTGGGTCAAATCGAACTATGGCGTGTGTCAGATAATAAATTTCCTGATTTGAAAGAGGATTTTTTTTTTTTAGTAGTGAACGGAATTTGACCAAATTCATATATACTTATTATCTGTTTATCAATAAATAATTCCTAACTTTTCTCCAAATTTAGGCCAAATCGAATGGGCTATTTTAGAGATATAGACGTATCATGAAAATATATAAAAGAAATTAATGGAGAGAATTCAATAAAATAGACACTACATTATTTTTTTACCAATATATACATTTTATCCAACTTTAATCCAAATCGAACGAACAAGCTGTTTTGAAATATTGGTATATCTAAAAAAAATACGTTTGCGCGAGCGTAAACGGAATCGCTGGACGGAATTTTATAAAACTGATATGGGACCATCTAGGCACCAACCGCACAATTCCTGAAAGTTTGATGAATATTGGATGAATAGTACTAGGTGATATGCCCGTCACATCGATTTGACTGCAGACACCGAACCAAATTTGATCCTTGATGTCTGAAATGTAAAACGCGAGTGGAAATTTTCGATTCTGAGCACAAAATGTTTTTTAATCCCTCGCACGAATACAATGCTTCCCTACCTTCTGAAGAGAGGGAGCAAAATAAAAAAATAAAGAGGCTTTTGACAGGGATGAGGAAAAAGCAGTACCCCTTCCGCTGCTTTTATTTACTTAAGTAATTACGTAAGTAGATCCTTCAACCAGACTCTCTTCAGTCGTCTTCTGGTATTCTCCGGTATAACAGTTATGGAGATTTCATTTATTAACTGGTTGGAGTGTCCTTTTATCTTCTAGAAAATTGGTATTGCTACATGATCCACTCTGGGTCAACAATCGCTTTTAATTCTCATGTTTTCCAAAGTGTCTTTAAATATTTTGGCATCAATGATTTTGTAGGAGAAATAAGAGTTTCTGAGTTTTTTTTAGTTGACATATACCCATAACGGACTTTGTTCGTTTATTTTTTCCGTTAGTACGTAGCTACATCGATTAGCACCGCCTTGCTATCTTTTCAGAACAAGTTATGCTCCTTTTTTATGTAAAAATATATCATTATTATTTTTTTTTTTTCAGAAAACTTATTATATTATTGTATTCAACTCAGTTCCGGTGTGGCCAGTGTCTAGAAAAGGTAATACAAAGTAAATAAAAAAGGAAATACCTTATGTGCGTTATAAAGCGAGATCCTCCCCTCCTTTAAAAGTTATAATTTTTTTAAATTGCCATCTCAAACCTACAAAACTATATCTATCAATTAAAATTTTGAAGAGTCAGTGCACGCACGTACTCGAAGGAATTTAACCATTTAATAATATGAAAATTTGAAGGAAGTGAATATTAGAATACCATACACTGCAGCATTAATTAACGAGAAAATATTAATATTGTATACACTTATTGGTCAAAATATTCTAATTTGATTACGTTTCAAAAAGAATTTGAACGATAAATTGAATTGTGTAGAACCACACCTAGCTCTGCCATAAATAAACTTGAACTTTATTTACATCCTTGGGTATTATTTAGATAATCCTTACCTCTGTCAGGTTATTTTCTTTACATGTCAGGATAATAATCTCAATTAGTTTGTATTTTTCTTTCGCTCAGTTAACATGGAGTGGGGTGATAAAGAAAACCGAATAGCTGTGATCGCCATACACAAATTTGGAAAATGTAGGTCAGAGATTTTCAATACTTTTAAAACACACTG